GCTTCATTTTTTTGAATTTACATTATAAAATATGTACTTACAAAATATTTCACATATTTTACCTTTATTCTTAACTGCTGTTTCCGTTCTCATCAAAATCTGTTGAGTTCCTGGTTCTATGAAGCCTCTCCCTCAGAAATACGCAATCAGGATCAGATTGGTTAGCTGGCCCAGTGTGTTGTGATTCGCTAACCACCTAGTGCACGGTGTCTTGATAACGTCACACCCCCTTATGGGTAGCTGTGTGTTCCCGGGGGACAGGGGTTATGCGAACATTGGGGTTAGTGCTTGTTGTAGTCCCTAGCAGCATTTTTGTAGTCCTTAAACAGCGATTTTTTTAAAGGAAAACATCTCCCTTTGCATTGAACTTTGAGCTCTTTATAGCTATTGTTTGTGCTCTAACAGCAACATTTCACACTAACTAAAGTAAAAAAAGTGAAATCATAATCAACCATGCCATTAAGTTTAGATATTGGGGAGATGCCACTGTAAGAGGGAGGGAAAGTTAGGCCTATTTTTACTAAAGATTATGAAAACACATGCATTTAATAATAATAATAATAATAATAATGTGCAACGATAAACCATTAATAAATAATGAAAGTCCATTTTAATTTCATGGTGACTTTCATTTGAAAAAGGCATGTCATCCTATACGCTAGATGGCGCACTGACGACTGTTGTTACAAAAATGCATCAATTCGCTTCAGGAGGCCTTTATTACCGTGTTGGCCCGAATATAAGACGACCCTGATTATAAGACGACCCCCCTTTTTCCAGATGTACCTTTTGGAAAATGGCTTTTAAAAACCAAATCTTGTTTTTTCTCAGTAAAGCACATTTTGTCTTCAATTATTTTCATATTGCATATTTTTCCTATTTTAATTTTTGTTTTGAAAGTATGGTAAAAACTGGTCAAATGTACCAACAATCTCATTTAAAAAATATACACTTTTTGATATGCCATAAAAAAAAAAACGGTAGCCCATCTGAATTAGGACATTTAGGCTATCCACCAAAATCTTATTAACAGTAGAAGTTAAATCTTACTGTCGTCTTCAAATCTGGGTACCGTCTTACGTTTTAAAATCACAAAGAGAGTTTGGTCGCATCAGGCTAACGTGACAGTCACGACTCATGCAGCTGTAAGCTTTTCTTTTTCTTTAGTTTTTACTCGCGATCTTTACAACACGCGTTACATTACATATTTCACGACACACTCGTTTCATGCGTATTTGGCGCCACCTATTGTTGTGGGTGTATTATTGACATGTCAAA